TGCCTGGAGTTCTCATCTAATGTTAGCATACTTGTTTATTTCTCAAGAGTCCTATTACTTTCTTTATATGTAAAATGAAGGAAATCACTATGTGCACCGTTAGTGCCTTTTGAAAATAGCAGATAATGTTTTGCACAAAAGTCTCATAATATTTCTCTTTTTCTCCTGGTATATAGTGCTACACGGCTCTTCTGTGATGTTTACAATCCACAAAGCAAAACCTACTGTAAGAGACTGCAGGTCCTCTGTCCAGAACACTCCAGAGACCCAAAGGTACTTTATCACGTGCATTTGATACATAAACACCCAATCTGCATAGATATTAAGGACATTATTCATAATTGTGAACGCAATGCATGCAGATCCCTGCGGATGAGGTCTGTGGGTGTCCATTGGTTCGTGATGTATTTGAACCCACTGGAGAATACTGCAGGGTGTCCAAACGCAAGTGTAACAAACACTACTGCTGGGAGAAACTCCGCAGGGCCGAAGTGGACCTGGAACGAGTCAGAGTGGTCAGTGCATGTGCCAAGGAATAATTTATTTGGGTCAAAAAAATAAATAGTTGTGTAATTATAAACTCAAAGCCATTTCAAGACAAGATTGCATTATCCTTCATCAGTCTTACAGTTAATCTTTAATTTATTCACTCATTCCCATTATCTCTTCTCTTCCCCTAGTGGTACAAGTTGGATGAATTGTTTGAGCAGGAGCGCAATCTAAAAACAGCCATGACAAATCGTGCAGGTCTCATGGCCCTCATGCTGCACCAGACAATCCAACACGACCCAATTACCACAGACCTGAGAACTAACAAGGACAGATAAGGTCACTGTCATTCCCTTTTATCATATTTTCATCTTTTATCCATGAAGCAACTCTCCTGGCAGTCTGAGGTTTTGTCTTTGATCTTACAGAGAAGACGAACCATTGCTGCTGAAGTCGCCTCACGTTTGTGAAGAGTCAGTGTCTTAGTAGTTGTTTGTTGAAACTGTATTTCATGTACGACACTCATTATGTTTCTGCATTGTACATGCATTCATGTAACCCTTGGCTTCACTCACTGAATGGTGCTGTAACAACACTGAATTGTTGAGCATTAAAAAGGTAAACTGGAAAAAGCTTGAAATATTTTTCTTGCTGGTGAAATGTGTTATTTGTCTTTAGATGGCATTTATTGTGCCTCTACACAAAGGTATCATTATTAAGGGTCTGTTGGGGTTTTCTATAGTCCAAATTTGGCCAAATTATTTAACATTTTTCTAGACTTCTTACAATGAAAAGTCTGACCAAAGTTTAGACTGATACAATTAACAGTACGTTTATTTTTCTGAGGGTGACATGATTAAAAACATTCTATATATATATATATTTTAATTTAGTATTACTTAATTATAACTGGTCCATGTGAAATGTCAAAATGTCATGCTTTTGCTCTGATCACTGATGAGCGTCAGACCTGACTGGAATGGCGCGATTCTGAAGTAAGACATTTGACGGTAAGTTTATTACTTTATTTAGGTTAATAAATGATTAAGAATTAGGATGGCGATTACCAATGTAAATGTTAAAGGGCCACTTTCTCTAGAACCGCGAACTGTTTAATAATGTTAGACGTATCTCACTTAATACAGCCTATTTGTGGGTAAAGCAAAGGCCCTTCAGATTTAACGTGGCTAAGATATATGTTTATTTGACCCTGATAATTTTTCCGTTTAAATTTGAAAAGTTAAACGTTAAATCACACGTAAAAACGTACAGCACATTATTTTTAAGCGCCAAATATTAAAGTATGTCAGAAAAATAATTACTCAGATATGCTCAGAACGAAATCTTATTAATGTTATTAATATTGGATAAAGGGCGATGGTACGTCATATCGAGAAACCGTTATAAATCACCGGAGCAATGCGCGAGTCGGCGATTTTCATATTAACGTTACATTATTTATATTCGTAACGTTACACGCTTATCAAAAAGACCAGCCAACAAACTCAGAGGACCTGCAGTTATGTTATTCTAGCTTTATTGTTAAAGGCGTATTACTGCAAGGACTCGGTAGGACTGTTCTACCGCTAAATTTAATTGTTCGAAACCTCAGTCAGGATCGGCTTCCTACGATGCTTGTGTTAGCGCATGCGCAGTAGATCTCCGAAAGTATCGCTGATCGGAGAGAACGAGGCGCAGACGAACGGCTCGATCGACTGCGCGAGACGCGATGAGGTAAGAATGTCTAAATACTGCAGGTCTTCGGCGCACTGTTTGTTTTTGTGCATGGCAAAAACGCGTGCTTATAGAACGCAGATAGCGTCATAATTTCGAGGTATCGCTGTAGTAAAAGAATCGAAAGATCGGCGTGGTTCCGTGCAGCAGAAAGCGTTCAGAAAGTCATTTTGCGAGGCTGCATCGCTGAAAGCAATGGGGAGTGTGGAAGGGGAGGGTCAACAGTGGTGGGGGGGG